ATTCTAGTTTTTTAATAATTTTCAAAAAATTTTAAAAAATGTAATATTATATTAACTAATAATTTTCAAATAATGAATGTATTTTTAGATTATAGGTATACCTATGCGACTATGTAATATTATTATAACAAACACATTAACGTTAGATATTAATAATACTAATTACTTTTCCATCCGTCAACTGATATTAGTAACTTATTAGGTTGTAAAATTAAGATTTGTGTTGTGCAATGAGTGCACGATTCATACATTTTCTTCGAGTTGGAAAATATTGAGTAACGTGCTACGTTGCTCTTTTTTTTATAAAATCTCGTAATTACGCATCAGCTAACAATGGTACCTACAGAAGTTAGAACCACTCAATCATAAGTTATTTTGAGTTGGTATGTACTTGAATATGGTTAAGTATTTAGAATTTTAATTTCTCCCAACATCTCATCAACACCCGTCGTTAGTGAGATATTTGTTCACCTCAAAACTGTTTTTGTTACCAATTTACCACTGTCTATATTGTATCTGCTTATTATTTTATCAGTGACATAATATTATCATCCAAAACTAATTGAGCTTTTACAGACATTTCGATAGACTATCGATACTTACATGGGTAGTGAAAGAAATTCTCCGTTTTTTTCGTTGGACCGTTAACACAGGATGTTTACGTGTTTCCGTGCAGGCTTCGTGAATGATCTCAATGTCATAGTGTGTGCGAAATCGAAAACCCTAAACCCGTTAACCCAACCCCGCTGGATGAAAAATTGACATTCCTCTGGGGGGGGGGGGGGGGTGAGAGAAGCCGAGAACAACAAAAAGTGGTTCAGGAATTCACAGGATTTTGGTAATAAATATTCGCAAAATAAATATTGCTACATGTTGATATTGGTATGGAGTGACTTGCGCACTTGAAAACGAATTGAAGCGTTTTGCGAGTGAGCTATTTGTAATGGTATACTTCCGAGCGAGTTCCGACAGTTTTAACAAACAAGTCCTTAATTTGTTTTTTTTTTTTAATGTTTATTTTATAATTACACACGAATTTTTATTAAAAATATCGTCATTCACGTATTATATTTATTATCATAATATTATAATACTCAAAATGGGATTTTTCGATTTTTACCGCACTCTCGCACTAACACGATAATCACCAACACCATAGAAAAAGTACCTGGGTACAGAAATCTCTGCGCGAATCGCATTGGTGGGCTCAGTTGTTGCGACCGAAATTCGTTAAAGGAGTGACTTACTTGACTCTAAGGTGTACAATCAGACGATTGTATTTTACCGACCAGTCGCCGTGTTCCTCCTAGTACAGGGATGGCAAATCTATGGCGGCACACGTGCCCGAGGTGGCACGCGAAAAGATTTTGTGGGCACGCGAAAATTTAGAAATCGACGACGCCGCGGGAACGGCTTTCGCATAGCTTCCGCCAATATTATAGGACCTATAATAACCTATAAACTAACCATTAATTATACAATCAAATTATAGTATAACAAATTATAATATTTTTAATATTTTTTTCATGGCACGCTCTAAAAAAAAAAAAGGTTATTACTAATTTTGGGCACTCAGTGTTTAAAAGGTTTATTCCCGTCCTACTACAATAAATATGCTAGAGCTGGCGAACTGGACAAACTGACCGGTCGGCCAAGACATCACTCCATCACTGTCTGTTTACCACAATCTAACTCGATAATATTTTTTTAAAAACCGGTCGGCAGATTCCGGTCGGTCGTTTGGACCCTATGGTTTCTCCTATATAGTTTCTATGTATATATGGTGACAAATAATAATCAATTTGTCCTATCTTTGTATAATAATAATAATTAATTAATTTCAATTAAAAATTGCATTTTTTTATTTTTCCATTACAACTTAATAGTTAATATTTGACCGTGGTGAACCTTTTTTTTTTCATTTCCTCCGTAAAGAAGTTTCACTTCATCCGTGCTCGCAACAAGCACGATTTTTTTATTTTATATTAATTTATAAACATTTCTCCGACCAACATCCCGCGATAGATGTAGGGTACACACCTTAAGTGTATTAGACTATAGGTTCGCGTATTATCGACTTTCTCGATCCCGGCCTCGCCGATTGCAAAGGTTTGCGCAAACGTTATATAAACATCATCGGTAGAGCACGTTGCACAATCATAATGCTGGTCTCGCGACGATTAATGCTCGTTTAACCGTAAGGAGCAATTAATCGTGTATTATAGGTATGATTCCTTCCGATAAACTTCGACGAGTACTACAGCACCCATCCTGGGTGTACACTCCACCGGTATGTTGTTATGCACTTATATCATGTGACCATTGGACCCTCCGACTCAGCTGCAATATCATCGAACAAAGCAACAAAATGTGCGTGTAACGGAGAAACGAACGCATTTCGAAAACCGAATTCGTCACGCCGTGATAACATTAATTCTTCAGGCTTAATATGTACATTATCATTGTGTTATCACTCGATCGCGATATTATAAAATTATACCTATGTCTACCTATTTTAAGCAGCAGTGCTACTCCTCTATTACGCCGTCCGCGTACGGCATAGACTCACTATAAGTCATAAGACCATGCGCAAATCTACAAATCTGGAAAAGGTATTAAAATGTTTTCAGAAAAAAAATACAACCATAAAATAGTAATACGTATACCTAGAATATAGGTAACGTCATAATGGATACGATTTAATAACAATAGTAACTAAAATTTTATTTATATTTTGTGTGGAGTTCAAGAGTCAAGACGTACCTATAAACTATAAATATATAAATAAAAACATAATATTTTTTTTTAATATAGCATTTAAATTGATTTATCTATCCCCTGTAAGCGTATGCTTGTGTTAGAGATAGAGAGTTGCAAAACGATAAAATTAATTACAAATTATTATATTTATATAATACAAATATAACATTGATAACATAAAAGCATATTAGATTATTACTCTCAGTGATAGAAAGAAAAATAGGATATAAAATAAAACATACAATATCCGAAACAAAACGTAAATAAAGACAAAATGATAACAACGAAGTATAAAAATAAAATAAGAACAACATTTAACAATAATTATATTCTTTATCTTATTTTTTACGTAATTATAATAAGTGACCCTAGTACATAAATTAAAGTTTGTCCAGATTTGTAAACAGCCAATCAGATATAATCGATTTTGCCCGATTAGATGTTACACAAATTTTATTTTTTAATTCATTGTTCTTGGAATTGAAACAAGTATGGCCTATAGATAATCCAGAAATCTTTGACCAGACGAGGTATTTGTGTAGGCAACAAGGGCATTGTATGCTCTGTTTCTCCTCCTATTTTCTATTTTGTTTATATTATAATAATATAAATATAATATTAAATTTCCATTAGGGTGAGACGGGGTTATAAAACCACTGACAGTCTTGGACACACTTTAGGGGTATTAACATGTCAAGCCTAGATGAGTCGTTGTATAGATGACGGCGACTACGAGATTTTGTGAAAAGTCTATTTTGAGAACTTGTGAAAAAAGTGTCAGCCGTTCCGCTCGTATATAGTGTTTCGGGAACTAGATAATTCTCAGAAACGAGAACGAGTGTGAGAGTATGAAAAAAATAATTACAATAATAATTTATACGCCATCCAAACGAACACATTTATAAATACAATAGAATTATAGTCACCTCGTCGCTGAGGATATCTCCTTACCGGTAAGTAGGAGTAGGTGCAAATAAAAAACAAATATACAATTTAATCATTTTCTCCTATTAAGTTATTCCGAGATACAGTGAAAAAACACAAAGTGTAGCTAAATAGTTTATTTTTTTACTGCGAGATGTTTAAATGTATAATTTTGATTGAACTTTTGTTTAATACGCTTGTGAAAAATGCTGCTTGATTTCAACGTTTAGATTATAGGAATATCCGAATAGGTGTATATCTTAAGTTCTGTTGATAATATTCGAGTCGGTGCAATACTGTTCAATTGTTTACCTATTATTTCACTTTATTCGTGAATAGCGTTTTCCATCTGTTTAATTAATTTGCCCTACATTGGCTACACTTGACAACCCGACAACTGACACCACGCCCCGCGGACGTGCGCGGCAACTACTGTACTTCTACACTGCGTCAAGCGATAATTTGAAGTGGAATATGTTGTCATTTACCTATCAATGAAATATAATTCACGACACCACAACGTCCAAAATGCATGGTGCCGTTTATCATCGCCCCCGTAGATAAATATAATATTACGTACACTGCACCATCAGAATATTATCATGAGATTTGAGCTATCTACTGCTGCACCGATGGTTCTAGTTATTAGCGCACTTAGAATGGAAAACGTTTTAGATTTGTACGTAAAACTTCACTGATATCATATTATGCGTTTTGGCTTTTGAATTTTGAGTATCAAAAGAGACGAGTATTGTGTTTCGTAGTTATAAAATATCAATGTAATTGCGTTGCATTAATCGATATATATACATAATATCAGAGTTGGACATTAGTATATTACTATTATTATTACAATCAATGATTATTAAGTTTAAATAATTATTGACTTCAAAAATGTTCAAATGCATCCAACCCGGAAACGTTGCCCGAAATGTTCGCGTCCCGGGAACAGAATACAACGAATCCAGATTGTTCCAAACAAACGGAAAAAAACGATGTATAGATTGTATTTTTTAACTTCCAGCAGCAGCACTACGCATATCTATACAATATAATATCGTATAGTCCCGTTTGGAGTTGTTTTACATCATTGCGAAAACGTCAATACAAAACTTGGGTTAGGGTTGTAATTCTAACCCCCCCCCCCCATTCTTCCAGACAACCACGTGCGATAATTATTATACGACCACCCAGCTATACGGTATAAAGAAAAACCGGCAACCACTTGTCAAGCCTGTTGACATAACATCGCACACTGTAGTATTAATGTGTTATACCTATTAATCGATTACGTGCAACGTCATTATCTGTTTCAGGCCAAGCTCAGTTCGTATCGTTCGCGGACCAAACGGAGACGTCGGTCTAGACACGGCGGCTGCGCATGCTGAATCGGACGGCAGTAGAAACAAACATCAAACTATCACTATACAATATATTCAATACATTTTAAATTTATATTATTATTATTATTATCATTATAATTATTATTGTTATTAATTGATTATATTTTTATTCACTATCCGTCGACGCGCACGTCGTTTTTGATGTATTAGATTATTGTATTAATATATATAGTCTCCGCGGAATCGATAAAAACGAGAAAAAATGTATAAAAAAAATCACACTACAAGTCAATTAGAAGAAGAAAAAAAACCGTATTTCACGCCGACGTGTATCCAAGTCTTTTCCACACACTCGCTCTCTATAAGCCCTCTCCGCAGAAGACATATATCCTGCAAAGGTATATATACGTGTACGCATGCCGCCTCCGGTCGTCACAATATATAGGTAGGTACACTCACTTTCGGCTGCGTTTATCGCATTACACGTTCGAACTGTAACTTTTTTTCTTTTTTCTTTCCCCCCCCCCCCCATTTAACGCTTTAGTGCATTATATTCGTCGTCGCGACGACTGCGGAGCACACACGTCCCGCGAGTTTTCTTGAAACCGAATTATTACATTTGCCGCGGTCACGCCCCTGTCACTACCGTGTACCACGACCCCGCGACGAAATTCGACGGGTACCGTGACCAAAAATAATGAAATGTATACAACCGAAAATTCATTACACCCCGCCGTTACTCGTGTCCTCGTTTCGGAACCCATCTTTTTTTTTTTAATTAACGCATGTTGCGAAACGCGACCAAAAAAGTACTCAAATACAACATGTTAATATAATTACTCTATAGACGCGTCGATTTATGTTTACCTCTACAGCGTTCTATAGATACAGGTTAAAAATTAAGAGGAAACTTCAACATTAGTTCGAAAAGATACTGGATACATTTAAATGATTATTATTTTAGCATAACAGTAAAATCGCACTTATAACCTAACGTTTTGCACTATACGCGTGAAATATATACTTTAATGTCATTTATTTAGTGTATTATAAACAGTCAGGTGTACCGCCGTCCGCCCGAGACGAGTGACGATGGCGCAACACCTATATAATGTGTTCATCAGAACTTTTTTGCATAAATTAATAATTTCTTTCTTTAAATTCAGAAAAAAAATTCATAGGTACCTACAGGTATAATATATCTGAACTTGTGTCTACTGTCTAGTATCTTTCTAACGAAAAACAAAATATAATATTATACAATATGAAACCGAAGCAAAACGAACCCAAACACAAAATATGGATCTTGGATTCCCACTCGTCCATCACTGTACCTATACATGTCTACCTAAATACCCATTAGGTTGCAGCACCTACTGAAATGTCAACGGCCGTTCAAAGTTTTCCTCGTCTAGCAATGTCCGAAACGTCGTTTGAATTTTACGATTTGTCGAAATTCTGGATTAGCGTCGTAAGAGACCCGCACTCTCGCGAGCGGCGGCGGCGGCCAGTACTCTTGAACTCGATCCCTTCGACTGTTGTGTCGCGACGAAGTGAACGAACGCACACGACCGATTGGAAAGTCGGAGCGACTATGGGAGATAGTTTCCACCAACAGCTGTTTCAGCCGAAATCGTGACGATAATAATTATAATATGATGGGAATGCGCTGTACGGTATACGCGCGCTCGATAAATATTATTATTTTACTCAATGGGCGAGACGCGTGTGCAGCGAACAGACATAACACTATAATATCATTAATATTAAACCGTTGTGGGAATAATATTATTGCAGTTAATATTTTAGAGCGGGGTGGGTTCGTCCCGCGTGGTAGGTATCCACCCTTTATTATTATAAACGTCGCCTCGCCTGTGCGTTCGCGTCTTCCCTCCGCGTCACTCGTCGCCAGAGAGCTGCGTCTCCACCGACACTCGCCGTCTTTGAGCTGCTCGGAGATTCGGGGCCTCGGGCGATTTCTTGTCTTCCCGACCCGGTCGTCGGCCGATTTCGCACATAAAATAGTATAATACCTATATACAGTCGAGTTCTTTGTACTGCCATAATCTTTTCCGCCCACGCGTAGCGTAACCATCGCCAGTGTGCGGCACGTCGTCGACCATAATAAAATAAAAAAGGCTCCGGGCACGTCGACGAAAATAATAATATTATGACGAAAATGCAGACTCGAGCGACGAGCGGTAAAAACGTTTGGAGTTCTTCATTTTGCGAAAAAACTAATCCTCGAACGCGCCCCCGGAGGCGATCGAATAATGACATTATAAAAACACCTGTGCGGCTCGGCGATTTGCCTACCCTCGTGCGCCCCCCCCCTCCCCCCACCTGTCAAAAACGCCAGTTTTCGCCGGACGTGAGCCGATGGTTGAGCTCGCGAAAAGGGCACTTACGCCGTGATGACGACGAAGATAATAATGACGTGCGGACCGCTTCCTGCTTTCACCGCTTCCGGTGTTGACGAATTATTTCTCGCGCCACTGTGACAAAATATAATAATCAAGCCCGCCCAAAGTGTATGGGATTAGCTTAACAGTCATAATAAAACGTATCGTGTACCTATAATAATAATATGATAGCCGATAAAATATCTGAAATCGCCAGGCCATCTATCGTCGCGATGATAAAATATATATTATTATTATGTTATGTTATATTTTCGTAAATAAAATTTAATAGACGGATATTAATATAAAACCATCATTATTATTATTATTAATATGTACGGTGGTCGACGACCGTTTTTCTCGGCCATAGTACCCGAATCGTCCGAAACCACTCGCCACCCTTAACTCGTCTCTGCGCATCTCGACCGCCCATCTGACCACAAGTAGGCCAACTATAATAATGAAGTACCTTTATTTTAGTACGATTCGTATGGCGGGCGGCATTCGCCGAACGTGCACGCGTTTTTCGGTCCGGCAAAGAATAATTATTAAGAAACGAGATGACTCGACAAACAGAGAGAGAATAAAAAAAAAATGTTACGACCGCGTATATATATATATAGACGGACTAACTTTAATGGACTTTTACGATTGTCCGTCGTGCAAGACGTTGTTATTATTATTGCTATCATATTATTATAATATTATATTTACCGTTTGACAAATGAGACGGAAAGCCCTACGACCTACAACTACTATTTTCTCCGTCTTACAACATAATGCACAACATATATGGCGAACTTTACGTTCACAATAATTATCCATTCGAAAGCTGAAAGTTTTAACGTTATTGTGCCTAGTCGACCTACTGTCGAATTTTAATGCATGTAAATTATAATCCATGGCCACGCGCAGGTTTTTTTTTGATATTTTAATTTTAAGCGAGTTCTGAGCACTTTAAAATTGTTAATTTTTTGTTAATTTCAAAAATGCTCACAAGACTTGGATCGAAAGTAAAACTTAAATAAAAAAAACTCTAAGCGGGGAATGTATATTATACTTAGGCGATGGACGAGTCGAATGGATTATTTTGAACGTAAGACTCGCATTGGTAATGTGTTGTGCGTTTGTAAGACCGAACTAACACAAACGCGTATGCCATGACATTCCCTCGGAGAGAAACAAATCCGGAAAAAATTTTATATAAGAAAATTTGTATGCCCACACGATTTCGATTTTTAATGATACTATTGTTATTTTTTTGCACTTTATGAAAAGTTAGCAGAAACTACGTTAGAGCACTGCGAGGAAAACAATGTACTTTGATTTCTTTATTTCAAAATTAATTTATTCTAGTGTTACAAAATATGTTTAATATATAGGTACTCATCGGTACATATTAATATTATTATTACTACTATTATAATATATATATACTATTTTTTGAAAACCTTAGACTATTCTATTTTTAAATTTTATTATTATATAAATGTTATTGAGTTCGTAATATTTATAGCGGGTTACTATTATTATTATTATTATTATTATTATTATTGTCTGTGTAATTAAATATATTTATATGATATATTTAAAGTAATCGCCTTATTCAAAATTTTAGATTTAAGCCTTGATTGCGATTCTGTTCGTCGTGAACTTATGAACACCAATACCACTGTTGTTACTATTTTATCGAGCTATTACTGTGATTTAATTTTGTTCTATAACCTCTGTCCGCCTTAACTGACATCTTCTAAAAGTGACTTATGAATGTACATACATATTATTTACATAATTTATATTAATTTTTTTTTCTAAAGCACGTCCCGATTGTATATAAATATATACGTACATGTATAATAAATAAAATCGTTCAAACTTTGAGTTACAAAAATACTGGGAAAGATATTATTGTAATATAATAATATAAACCTCATTATTTTTGAGAACATAAACTTGAACAGCTATGTGTAATACATCAAATATTTAATCAAAAAATTAGACTACCTACCTACGTATATACATTATTATTATCATTATCATTATTAGATACTGTTGTTATTCGGTAGCTTTCGAGGTACCGGTTTTTTTTTTTTTTTTGTTGATTTTGGTTTACACATTATACTAAATGTTTGTAATGTTATTTTTATTGTTATTATTCGACAATCAAAACGAATATTATTTAGAATTATTGATAATAGAGGTAGCGATTTTTGTTTAGTTTTACTAAAGTTTATTATATTATTATCATATAATACTGTTCTTTTTTTTAAACAAAAATTATATTCACTTTGATAAAATACGTTTATTATTAGTTATAAATTATAATTATAAAAATTATGATTTACACGATAATATATTATATTATATTAATATGGTATTCGTGCCGAAATGCATAACAACAATGTGAACGGTAAATCTTAGACAGTTTAAAATTACCATTTGTTATATAAGACCCCAATTTAATAATGATATTTATATTTTACTCGGATTAACATTGTTTTATCAATTACCTAGGTACCTATACGCAATATATTATATTTTATATATGCCTAAATAATATTTATATAATGATATTATATTATATAGTCGTCTATATACTGAAAATTTGAAAAAAATTGCACTTTTAATTTCGTAGATATCGTTCTTCGGAACCTATACTCATTACTCATCCAGGTTTACTTTAATAGATTGATTTCAATTAGGTATAAATCAGCAGTGGTGCTAATCGTGCGCGTACAGTGCAGACAGAGTTGCTTGACGGCACACCACGCAGTTATTGAATTAAAATAATACCCTCGACATGTCCAACAATCATAAACTGGTTAAAAATAAATAAATAAAACCATATAGACGATAGGTAGGTAATTCAACAGTAGTTGAACAAGGTCAGGTGTTGTAATATGGTAGGTAGGTACCTACTTACAACACAAAACGTTAAAACGTCAAAAATAAGCAAAAAATGAATTAAAAATCTAGAGAAAACGAATTAACTATCTACTATAAAATAATCGATAATACATAACTACTGATGACTGGGTAAATGTGTGACCTTCTTGCCGATCGCCTTGCAATAATTTTATAATATTATAATACCGAATAGGGGATTTTGAGAACTGCTGTGAACTCGGTGTCGTTCAAATCGATGTAATATACGTATTAGGTGTGTTGGTTTCAAAAAAAAAATAAAAAGTTCAAAATACTGAGCGGCTCTCTTTTTGGCCGGTATAGTTTTTTTTATAACTTCCAATTATAACAACTGAACTCGACAATTTAATTTAATACGAATAATACGATTGTATTCAAAAATGTGATTTTTTCATAAAAAAATCATCACCTTATACAATCGCTAGAAAAAAATATTAAAATAAAATAATTGGCAATATAATGATTTAAGGATTTAACATATTATTATTGCCTTAGTCAAATTAAAAATTCATTTTTGTTTGAAAATGTTCACTACTCCGAGTAGTTTTCCAAGTATATATTGGTTATTTCTTTCCTATTTACTGGTAAGTTTCCTCGCATTATTACTTCAAAATTTAACAATATAACAATTGATTGTCACTTCATTGTAAATACCTACTATAGAGTGTCGTCAGTACATCTGTATTTTATATTATCTAATTTATATTTTGTACCAATTATACATACATATAATTTACTATTGCAAAATAATGCTTAAAAATGAATATTGTAACTATTTGACCTGAACACCAACGGGGTATAAATCGGCTCAACTTAATACAATTATAGGTACCTTTTTCAAATGAGAACTAATTCGGTTACTCCTAAACCATTATTGTTGTTCCTTGTTTGATATAATGTAATGTAAAACGCCATCCAATTCGCTATAGTGATGTATCCAAATTCCAAAGTATAGGCACATAGAGTTACGTCTAGAAGTAATAGAGTATAATAGAACCAAGTATAATTGTAGTTTTATAGTATTTTAGTATAGACTAATGTCAAATGTTGCTTAAAATCATATAATTTAATTAAATATAAAAATTGTTAAGCGCAGTTTTTATAATTGTAAATTTTAAAGACAATTATACTGGTCGAAAAGGGAACGGTAAGTTTGGCCAAAAAGTGTCACTGGCCGAAAACGGTGACGTCCAAAATGTTTAGTTGTTGTGATAATAATTTCTATTTTACGATTTTTTGTTGTCAAAGGAAACGGTCAAGGTTTACATTGCTATGTACAGGGTGATTCACTAAGCATGCTCACCCTCTTTTTTCCTTTAATGATGAATTAATTCTAATTGTGGTTTTTGGAATTTTTAAGTATGCCTCAAAGACAATATTTTCAAATTCTTGAATTTTTTTGTACTAGGTACCATTGATTATAAATTCTAGGAGTATTGCTACTAGTATTTATAATCAATGGTACTACTTAACGAGTGCAGTCTTTTGATTTTACAAACTTCTGTTTTTCAAATGAGAACAGCTCTCTCTCACTGTAAATTAAATAGTAGATTCCAAATTCGAATTAGTAGTTATTTAGTTATTAAAATGTTTGTATTAAGGAGAGTAGTCCTTAAAACTAGTTTTACATAAATATAAAATATACGTAAAATTGGATCTAGTATTTATTATACCATTATATCATTTTTACAAATTATTAATATCGAATATCGATAGATTAATATTAATGATAACAATTTTCAATTCACCATATTCCCATATCTTATATTAACTCATTACTATGGACCTTTCCTTAGACCTCAAAGTTAAATAACTCCAAAACTACTCTTACGAATTTTGATTTTGATGCTTCAAAAGTTTCAGAAAAATGATCTACTGTACCTATAGTTTATATTTGAATAGGATAGGGCTGTTCTAATTTGAAAAACAGAAGTTTGTATCTCTACGGCCCAAAAGGACACTCCTTAAGTAGTACAAAATATCTCAAGAACTTGAAAATATGGTATTAGAGTATATTTAAAAAATTTAAAAATCAGATTTTGAATAACTGCATTATTGAAGACAAAAAAGGGACGAGCATGTTTGGTGAATCGTCCTGTATAATACATCCAAAGCCAAGAATTTCAATCTCCCAAAAGGCCCACAGAATGGATGAAACCATTTCTCCTATTCTGTAATCACACGCTCAGTGAGTTATCGCCCAGTCCATTGTTCGCGAAATTGCGATATGTTAGAGATGCCACCCAAGGCCGTAGCTGGAACAAATTTTCGGGGGGGGGTTAAAACCAAATTACCATATGTATTTAAATATCTAGTTAAAAAAAAAAGATATTTTATGATATTATTTAATATTATTACATAGATACATTATAATAATGGCCTGTCATAATTTTACAAAATTTAATTATTACAATATACTGAAGTTAAAATACTAAATTATGATATAATACAGAATAATAATATAATACAATACATAATACAAAATGTTTTCCGTTTCTTTTCAGCTTAAATTTTAAATACATTTTTATAGCACAAGGTCTGTTTGTCTTTTTTTTTCTTTCGCAAAACGGTCAATCACTTCATCTATATTTATTTTAATATGTCTATGCACACTCAGAATTTCAATTGCATTTTTCCATTTATTGAATGGTTTTGTTACTAATACGCCGGGTTTCTGATGTGCACCTTTACCAGTATAATTATGAAAAAATATAGCACAATACTTACACACCGCTCCAGAACCTTGCATATTAGTGTAACATAACCAGGGAAATCGTTTGATCCAATTTAATTGAAATTTTAAATTTCTATTTTCTGATATAGGAAATGTAAACTTCTCATCAGGCATCCAAACGTTAGAAAGTAACTTATATTTTAATTCATCACTAACCTTTTGATTAAAACAGCAACCAATATCGGCTACATCACTCTTAGAGTTTTCTGTTGTTACACTGCTTGTAACTGGTGCAATTGTAGTTAACATTGAACTTGAAGTACTTGCTTCATTTCCATCATGCGTAGTTTTTATTTTTTTATTAAAATAGTTTGTTAGACTATTAGAACAACTGGTTTTACGAGATGACATTTTATTAAAAAAATAAACAAATTATACACTTAATAATTAATATTATATTCAAGTTTAAGAGGTAATAGGTACTACTAATACGACGACGTCTCAACACAGACTACAAAGGAAGTTGTAGGTACCGATAATCGAAAAGCTTCGGGGAAAAAGGCAGTACGACGTTATCGTCGTCTGTCAATTAATCGTTTACATTCAATCGCTTGTGCGTATATATGTATATTGTATATAAATTCATATACGGTTCGTATTCGCACGATTACCGGATTATAAAATAATATAATATAATTTTCGAAACGATATAAATATATGCCTGCAATACGATTGCGCGCGGTCCTTATCAGCCGTCAAATATACAGATTATAAATGCACGGTAAATATCCGGTTAGGTTCCGATTGTGGTGATCCGTACGTTATTTATTACTTATTATTGCCGATTATTTCAAAGTTCAGTTTACTAACTATTTTAAAATTTCGGGGGGGGTTTGAACCCTCGACCCCCCCCCCTAGATACGGCCTTGATGCCACCTGCCGTCAACATACTTCTGACCTTTTTTTTTTTTGTATATTATATTCACATTAATGTATTTGCGTCCAACGCCCTCCATTGTCTATCTAAAAAATTCAAACGAGTAGTTAGCCAATACGAAATGTTACTGTTTAAGAAAATTAGGAAAATAGTAACATGTTTAAAAAAAAAAAAAATAACTTTCCAATTTTTATTTTTTTTATTCTTAAACATTTTTAAATAGTAATAAATAATTGTAATAAATTAATTAGATTAACAATAAAAATAAAATAAATATATTAACTTTTGAAATATTTTACTTTCGATTGTTATTTTAAGACATTCAAGTTATTATTATTATTTTATAGTATGAAAAGATAAGTATACATGCCTTCTAAATTCTAAGCATAAATTTTATGATTCGATTTAATTACTTTAGACACTGCAGAAGCGACCTAATACATTTCAATATGAATTCTTTAATTACATGTAATTATATTACAAATATATGTTTAAAATATATTGATTAATTACCTATATAATATTTTCTTACAATTCCTATCCTAAAATATTTGAAAAAAAACATGAACTAGTTTATGTTTCCAATGCTTCAGTATACATGACATTTGTCAATTCAATGATAAATTTATCGTGAGACCTTAATATTTTTTTATTATTTAATATTTTGTATTTTATATTCCATCATAATTAATAATTATTATACTCGATCACCCATTAGGTACATAAAAAGCTATCTCAAACATTTTGCTTTTGGTAAAAAGATTATTCACTCAAACGTTTGACCCTCATTAAATATCCGTATCGTAACCATGAATGTGGACATGCATAAAAAAAGTAAAAATTACTAATTTATAATATAGGTATTTTGTTCTTGCTATTTATTTGTAGAATAAGTTAGATTGTTGCATAGATAATATGATTTTTGCACAAACATCATCGTCAAATTTGTTTGATGGTGATGTATGGGAATTTAAGATACAGCATTGGTGCATATAATAATAGTTTAAATGAAATCAAACCTTCTATCAACCCTTGGCCAATACACACTTCCAAGAGACGCCACGAAGTCATAATTAATAGACTAAGAATTGGACACACCTGGCTCACCCATCGTCACCTCATGAGACGTGAAGATCCAGACCCATGTACAACCTGTGGGGAAGCTCTAACGGTTAAACATATCCTCCTATACTGTCGAAACTACACAGACACAAGAACAGCCCTAGATATTCCTGAGCATCTATATGAAGCACTTGGATCCGATCACGAAAGTAATATCAAAATCATAAAGTTTCTTAAAATTACTAAATTGTATAACCTCATCTGATTTTTGTATTTTATAATATGTTATATTCACATACTTTAACGTTTAACCTATGTAAATAACTATTATTGTATTTAATATGTATAATTTCCTCTAGCACATAAGTTAATCTTTACATTGTACAACATGCCAATAACCTTAGTTGTTGCGGCTTAAATTAATAAAAAAAAAATAATAAAATAATAGTTTTACGATGATCATTGATACATTTAAAACTTTCATTTTGTTCATTGGTATTATAACAACAGTTGGGTTTTTTACATCTTTCCACAGCACTTTTTATATTACGTTTATTATCTATCACATAGAGGCTGGCACCTGCACTAATTATTAATAAATAATAATTTAAATTTCAAAAACAATACACTGATCAGTTATACTAACAATAATCACAGTTCCCAAGTAGGAAGGTATTACATTTTTTTACTATTGGGAATAAACAACCTATACCTTAGGGGCACAATAGCTAGGCTTATGTGGTGTGCGAGTATAAATATAAATTAATTTAAATAATCGTTACCTACACAATAAATAATTAATTCACTAACAGGCTACATGTATTCAATTAATAACTAATTAATAAAATATAATAGTATTATTATCTAATCATTGTTATGCATTATGTTTCTAAATTCCTAAATGTTTTAATCATTAAAATGCTGTTATGTCCATGTTCATATAATGGATAAGTGCAGAGTACAGCAGTGGTTGGTCCATTTTCTGGATACTGACGCTGGATATTTTTTTCATTGCAGAAAAAAAAGTGGTATTTAGATCCTAATTTTCTGATGAAACTGTAGGAATTTGGTGATATATAATTTAGTTTTAGATGACTGTGAGCAGATTTCAGTAGTACAATGGGTATGCAGTTTAGTATAAACTATAAAGTAGAAACTCCAAACATAAGGGCCCTTTTTTTCATGTGGTATGTTCCATTGTTCCGTAGGTATATTTCTGCCTACATGGCAACATTAGGGCCTAGGATTTCATACCAGGATTATTATAATTAATAGAAACCCAAGAATATTTCTTTCAACAAGCATGGAAGTTATAAATTGGTATATACTGATAATTTAGTGTACATATTTTAACTAAATTAAATTGTAATCAAATCAATGGTAAGCCATACTTAATGAATCATGTCAGTTTGTACCTATTAAATTCTAAATTTCAATCATACATTATTTTCAGTCTCAGATACTTTTAAACTAAATTAAATTAATTTTTTTAATTTTTTACAATCAAATAGTTCTTATCGCGTAACTTATAAAGTTATAACATTAATATCATGAAAATCAATAATAAAAAAAATATACATTTAATATTTATAAATCAACTGGAAACACTATTATGTATGCATATTAACCAAATCTTATATGTTTAAAATAAATTACAATCAGTTTCATAGACACATTAAATGTTACCGTGATATAATATACCAAACAAGAATTGAATAACTTAATCATGATTTTTGGTATTACATGTTCAATTAAAAATTAATAATTAAGTCATGGTTAATGCCTAATGGTTACTATCTAGTTTAGTAGTGAAGTAAAGTAAGGTTTTGTAGGTACACAAGATTCTACAAAATTTGTTTTCTTATTAATTTGAAAATTGTATCATTATACAATTTGTGATGGTAATAAATACCTTAAATACTCCTCAGTGGTTCGATTTAATTACTAGTTTATCACATCATATTATACAATACACAATAAGTAATATAGGTAGAATTGTATTAGTTATTGCATTTTTACAGGTGGTGATTAGGTAACACAAAAGGGATGGACAGTGTTGTCGGCATGACACACTAAAGGCCCATGGATCAGTTTTTTTAAGAAGCCTCATATTGAAGTACACGTCTCAAAAAATGTACATGACATTTTGTTGAAACAATTTGTCCATATCCAGGACCCAAAAATTCTCAGGGGCAGTCCGTGACTCTGTAATATTCTAAAAATGATGTACAATTTATAATATTTTGACAAATACTGTACAGGGGTCTCTACTTCCTATTTCCTATACTTACTATTACCAGGAACACATCAAGCAAATAAAAAGCTCGCGGCCTGGGCCAGGCCAACACTGGACATGGCTTTGTAAATATACTAGCCGCCTGGCGCCTAAGACCCTACAATCACTACCTAAAGAAGTTTCGATTAAAAAAACTTATGTTTTTCCTATAAACAGTGGTATTCCACAGTTGTGTTTAAATTAAAGTTATCAAGCAAGTAAAAAACATAGAAAAAAAGTATATCTTAGAATAACTTTGGTGTTAGTGGATAAGTTCAGTCTTGTCTGGATGTAACTATGCAATTAAGATGTTTAGCATAATTGAACTATGGACTTAAATTAGTCAAAGTCTAGAGTTAAAAATTATAAACAATTTTTTTTAACATATCTGGTCATCTGGTTTATCAGTTGGTTTAGTGTGCTCTTCTGAATTAGTAACCTCATCATCTTCCACTTCTACCACATTACAATTTTCAAATTCTGCATAATTAACTCCACTAGAAAAAAAAAACAATAACAATAATATTAATTAACAATAATTGTACGCTATTATACGTGATACTTTTTTTTTGAAGATTGTGAAAACTAATGCTCTGAAATGTGTTTAAGCCTTAGAAATATTATTAATAAGAACATTGTACATGTCTACATTAAAAGCATACAAAACTAATCTAAAGAACAAAACAAATAGTGGTGAATAAATTAAAAAGCATTCAAATGAGCGCATTTGGTTTTATAATTGTTTTCAATAAAAATTGGATGATAATAACAAAAATATAATGTTTGAACACGATACAATAACAATAGTATTTGTTTATTTTTAATAAAAATATCATTATTCACATGAACTCAGTTAATTAAGTTAAATTCATAAAACAAACTTTACATATTATACTACATAAAAATACTAATAATAATTATAATAATAATAAAAATAAAAATAAATTATAATTTCAATACTAAAATTACGTGCAACCTGTGAGATCATATATTTTCGAACTCTTCGGACTGAAAATATTAAAGAATAAGAAAATTCATTAAGTGTACATTTATTTTGATAATCGTAATATCACCAGAACCATTTGCGCAAGACAGAGGTTACATTTTCCAAATCTTATTTGATTTTTTCTCAAAAAGCAGACGGTGGCTACAGTACAGTAAACATGCAATAAGCTACAACATGCACAATGCAAAATATCAATCGTGGAACATACCTGTAGAATACATAATGTTGTAGGAAAAACAATATATCAAAAATCACTGACAGTAAACCCAAACCAAATTTGGTCGGATCGCCAAACACTGAGGCCCAATCATCTAGAATAAATAAAAATGGTTAATAAATTCACAAATAAAATATTTACAGTACTTAAGTATAGTTACTGTAATTATATGCGTTGATAATCATCTGCAATATACTAAGTAATCCTCCTGTGAAATCTAAGAATATGTTGCCGATACTCCAACCAATAGTACTCTTACGCTTGTAATTCATTACTGCCTAGACATAATTTATTTCTATTACTATACACAAAAAGTTTAAAATATGCATAGTGTATTCGATATTACAGTACATGAATATTTGAAAAACCAAGAACTATCTCATGTATATATACATTTTAGATTTCTAATTAAAGTGATCCCATAATTATTTTAAATTAGAGATGTTTGTATCAATAAAAGTTATTATTTATTACAAAATAACTGGTTTGAATATTTTTAGAGGATGAGTGTAACACATACTTGTGGAATGTATTTGATGAGTGTTATGGTCAACTTGATATATGAGCAATAATAAAGGAAGTCCAGCCATACTATCTTTTCTAAATATACAAGAACTAATAATATGATTATTAGTAATCCATAGAAGGACATGATTGATTTGGCTGTCCGAGAAACTTGTTGATCGCCTTTCTGCAAAACATATACATATATTTAATTAAAACAGGACACTATTTTACCAAAATATTTACATAACATACATGTTTTAATATATGATGCAATAATATAATAATAATAGTATTATTACATAAGCAATTTCAATAAACAAATTTAACTTAAGATTACCTCATAGAAATAACATTGGGCCACAGTTATTAAAGTAGCAAATACAGCATGAATAGAAAAGAATATGTCGTTTAATTGAACTGGATTTAATCCACGAGGATTTCGGGCTGAGTAGTCTTTCTATTCAATCATAAAGTACAGACAGGTAAATAAAAGGTGATCAAAAGACATTGATGACTAATTATAATACTTCAATTTCAGGTATCCATAGACCAACATTGAACATCGAATATAACATAAATCCAACCAAGTTCAATGCAATGAAGTCAAAATTTAAGCCCACAACACTAAAAAAATAATACAAATTATTAATAAATTAATCGGATTTTAATCTAAGGTGCATGGCAGTATTAAACTACAAAATTATCAGAAACATGAAGAACTATATAAAAAAAAAACTAAATATACTAAATAATAATTGATGAATAGTAAAATAAATGTATAGAATTAAATTTGAAAAGTAATTTAATACTTAGTATTAAAAACACTGTTTGCCATTAAAATAAAATATAAAAATTAATAATTATCTTTTTGTAATCGCTTTGCTATCATTATTTTAAAATAAAATGCAAATTAAAATTTAAAAAAAAAAATTATCTTTTTTAACATTGTACAGGATTTATAAAAACCAAAATGCAAGAATCATTCAACAACCTATATTTGTTAATAATGATTAATGATACAGGACAAGGTCTTTCATTTGAAATAACATAATTATAATAATAATAATACAACTTAAATACTTGACATTAGTACATTCAGTTTTTACTTAAACTTGTTAAAATTTCTTATAGGTCGTCAATCTTTAAAACATTTATAAATTAAACATAAGGTGTCCAACGGATGTTTACCATGTAGAATATTTCAATTGAATATATTAATACTTCATCAAATATGTAGTAATTACCATTGAAAAACGAATAGTTAAATCATACATACAACATCATTTTATTTTGTTAAATTTTAAAGGTATTAAATTACAAAGTTGTAGTTTGTTAATTATTTACATTTTTATGTTATAAATTATATATTAAATTAAAATAAGGCTTCTTGGGAGGGTGTCAGTAATAATATCTACCTCAGAAGCCATACTACATGATGTATTATACTATTATATAAGATGTCAATAAAACATGTGAATCACTTACTACAGAAAAGGGCATATCCAAAATTATCAATTTTTTAATACACAAATTAAAATGAGAACATAATTTACTATAGAAATTAGCCATAACCAATTAATCTAATAAAAATAAGAAGCACATTAAAGAATATCTAAAAGTCAACATGATATTATGTGAAATTATTATAAATTTATATTATTAAATAATATAATTAAAAATAAAAATAAAAATTACATATATCAAAATTGATTAAAAAACAATGGGCGTTGGTAAAAATTATAGTAATTTTATTTTGTACAAATGCAAATGCACTATGTGCATACTTTACTATAAAAAGTGATTTGTTCTAAGCACATTCTGTAATAATTAACACCAATTATATTTCTAGTCAAAAATTATTAATAGTTAATTAAATCTTATAACATAACATTTTAGAAATGGGGTGTTCATTAATTTTTTGTGAGTATATATATTCTTTAAAATAAGTAAGTAGATTGTTTATATGATTCATAGTATATAATATTGATAACAGGTTATATTTTTTAGAAAAACACCATAATATGATTTACCTTTTACGTTTCCAGTTTTCATACATCTGAGGATAAAATGATATTGACCATGCAACAAAATAAATCCACCCAACAACAACACTGACTAAAGCCAATTCATTAGAATGTTGAAGAGTGACTCTCACAAAAGCATCACTGGATCTGTAATAACACAATATTAATATACATTAATAAATTATTAAAATATGTAGGTAATTAATACATCACCATATAAAAAATAATCATCAAACTTAACAAATGTTTTATATTATAAGTAGGAATCCATGAAACATATATTTTTACATTAAATAATAAATTGCTTAAAATTAAATATATCTATTTTGATCATCATTTAAAGTATTAGGAAATATAAAATATTTGTGTAAAATAGGGTGGTATTGTAATTGTTTTATGCAAAACACGTCATTATAAGATTTCAAATAAGAAAAAATATTTTTTTTAATGATTTAAAATTTGGAATTAAATAGCTTTCAAATACATTGAATAAAAAATTATCAATACCTATATTACATTAATACAACATTTCTACAGACTTCGCTAAGCAAGTCAATAAATGTAAGGTAATTGTATTAAGTATTAAGCAATATAATATAATTGCTGAAGGTAATCTGCAACAGCCTTCTCAAGGATTTATATCAAATACTATATGGGTACACAGTACTGAATAGGTACATTATCAATTATTGAATAAATCATTTAAACTTAAGCTTTAAACAGAAATAACTTTTTTGAGAATCAAATAGTTTCTTTATAAATGCATATATCAATGGTCTAATAATTTATTTTCACATTCTTATGTTATAAGTTCACTTTATATGACTTAGATATTCTGTCATACACTAATACTTAAAACAAAAAGTTTAAAATTTAATACATGTGATATTAGGTTTTATTACTTGATGGAAGAAGGAAAAGCATCAACTTTTAATAAGTCATGGCCGGCATCATGACCAAACAACTCAACTGGCCATACATTTGGACCTGTAGAATTGGTGACTTCTATTTTGGTAATATTTGTCGTCAGTAAGTCTTTATGATTAGTGCTGAGGATTAATGTGGTATTTACTGGTAAATTGTCCCTGGAATAAAAAGGAACAGGTCAGGTTAAACTGTGAAATATTATAAGTATGTAACAAAACTAAAAACTAAAAAATAAAACATTTTCAAGGTACTTACGTTAAGGTTAATGTGAGTGTTGTCGAATCATTCACCAACAATACCAAGTCCTGGGTATTGAACGATAATCTTGCACATGCCCGGGATGCACCTGTCAGAGAAATTAATTAATATTAATTTATAACCCAATGTACGATCGTCACACGTCGACATGGTTCTTACTGTAGGCGATCAGGATGAACGCGACTCGAACAATGCTCCTCATGGCGAATTTCTCAGGTCGGATGGCCATCGGTTTCGGACTGAGGTGGCTGGGGAAAAAAAAATTTTGAATAACAACAAAAACGAACGCGTATACACTGACGCAATTGTAGTCCAAACAACATGTGCAACATATTAATAATTAAGTATTGTAATTGTTTGTATTTACATAGGTACCACATGTGTGTGTGAGTGCAATTATTTGACTGACAAAATTCACGATCGATCCAACGACAAGTATCGGTCGTTAGTCGTTTCGTCAGGTGTACGACAACAGTGGTTGTCGATCGGATGCATGTGCAATCCGAGAACGATCGTCGCCGCGTATTTTCGACTCGCACAAATCATAACGTCATCTTAATTAATTATTTTTCTACAAAGGATCGTCGGTCGATAACTTCAGTGCCAGCAGCCCGCGGTCGATTATTTATAATTGCATATTATAATTATTATTATTATTATTACTCGAAACGTATTGCACTATATTATTATAAGAGTTGTCCGATTTGCTCGCACCGAACTGGCTACCGTGTAGGTACACGTTATTATCATAATTAATATTATTGTTGTTGTTGTTTGTTTAAAATGACACGCCGAACAGACGACTAACAAGGTTGTGGTGTTTATACCAAGGGTATTAATCTAATATCAGTTGTAACGATTGAACCGACGGCGATCGAGCCCGTCAAAAAAATAATCAATACCCATGAATGTCTGGTCAGTTTTCAACCGATCTTTATCATTGCAAATACAATTATACTGGTCGTAACGCTGCGAAGTTCGAACGAGACTATTAAAATCGCTAAAATATTACATCACGTCGAATGTCGATCTTTTCAGCATGTAGGTCGGGCGTGCGTAAGTTATAGTTATCATCGGCCTAGGTGTTAAAAAAATTCAATAGACAATTATTAATTATTATGTAGTGGGAACCGGGAAACAATAAACAACTATAATATTAATAGACTATTACAGAAGCGCGATAGACGGTTTTTGAAGTTTTAAACGCGGAACGCTCGCGGCGCGCTCGACAATTGAGATAAGACGGGTCGGCGGTCGCGACTAGTGATGTGATAACGGTATTGCCTCCTCAGCTGCTGCAGTGTTGTTGTTATTATTTTGGATAAAACGAAAACGGAAAACTTCTCGGAGGCGACGGCATGATATAATCGATTCGATAAAGGCGCGTCGCATAACATATTATTATTATTATTATTATGCTTATGATGGTGTCAGCGCAGTCATCGCACTATTAATTGTTTTCTCTTCCTGACCCAAACGGCCGTACGTAGTAAAATAAATAATAATAGTACCTATAGTTGTCAAATTTACGTTCAGAAAATTCGCTAATCAATCAGCTTGTGCGTTAACTTCATTACTTAGAGTGTGGGTGCTAGCAGTGAATTGGCCCATTATATAGTATGTATTATATATTATTATTGTTCTATGGTGTTATAGAACTCAGAGTTAATAACATAATAATTAATAGTATTAACTATTAAGCACCTATCTGTATTTGAACATTGGATTTCAGATTTTGCGAGTGTATTGATCCTACAATGATGTAATACTTATGCCTTTTTTCTTCTTTTTTTGTAAATAATTATGTGCATTGTACATATTTTGTACGTACACGATTTATATTGTATACAATTATATGCTCTAGTATTAGATACTCAGAGCCGTGCCGTTAAGATTTGGCGCCCAGGGCAAAATTAAAAATATTCGTCCCCTATTTTATTTATCATTAATCATAATGCATTTCATTCCTATTTAATTTTTTTTTACAACGTATTTTGAACATTGATTTGACAAAAATCTAATGCTGATTGTAATAGGAATTATTAAAATAGTTAGGTATAATTTATTAATTTATACCGTATTAAATAATTAAAAATTAATACAAATCACAAATTATATAATATTATAACCATATTATATTTACAAACGTATCATATTAGCGTATTATATAGGTACTTAGTTTAAAACTTAATTTTCCTGGACTTTATTGAAGCAAAATCTTAAATGACGTCTTCAAAATCGATGTTTTTGGTTATTTCATTCTCAATTAACAATATTGCTGAATTGGTTAACCTCTCTTGCAACATGGTTGATCGTAAATACTTCTCAGTTAATTTAAATTTACTAAAAAAGCATTCCTCGGAAGCGACGGTAACAGGCGCGGTAAGATCTTTATCCTAGAATCTATCATTAAGTTTGGACAAGTTGAATCAAGTACATATTGTTGACTAATTGTTATTAGTCGAACATAGTCGGAAATTTGTTCAGAAAAAAATTGTAATGGTCTAAAATAATTTTAAAACAATAATCTTTCTTCTATATTTTATTTATGAAAAGTTTAAAATAATATAAAAACAATTTTTGGCGCCCCTTTAAGCCATACGCCTGGGTCTTATACCCCCCCCCCCACGGGACGGCTCTGTAGATACTGAAGAGATTTCTCGTAGGAAATTGGATCTAGTTAGAACGCATTTTAGAGGTAAAAATTGACCATGTCCAGTGCTTTTCAAAATTATTGGAAAAACGGGAATTTTTAAACAAAACCAGTTTTTGAAAAAATCGATTTTCTTATTTTATTGCAATTTCAAAAACGAATAACCGTACTAGAATAAACTAGAAAATTTCATCAAATGTTTATATTAATATTCTCAATACATTGTGTAGTTGTTTAATATTTTAACTCTTTTTGAGCTGTTTATAGGCAAGTGAAATATGCGAATTTTTAATTAGTTTTTTTTCAATTATCGTCATTTTAATAAATTTCACCCTGTCGAAAAACATGAAAAATGTAATACATTGGTTCCCCATAAGTTGTTATTACTATATATAAAAATTATTGTGAATTTGGTATTTACTATCAACTTTTTCTTTATATTGCACTATAATAATTACTTATGATGAAGAACTGGAGAAGTGAGGAATCTTGTATTAAATTTCAAGTGTTTTGACTGAGTGGACAATTTTTTACCGACAATAATTTTAAAAAAAAACTGTCTCATGCTAGCTCAGAGTCAAGATATTTTAAACATTTTATGGTGTATAGAAAATTATAATATAAACATTCAGTGAACATTTCATGTACCTATATACCAATTATTATAATTTATGAATTATGACATACTATATAATAATATGCTCGTAAGCGCAGATACACTATAGGTATTAGGTGTATACAAGCTGTTTAATATATAACTATATATATTATATACCAGATGATCCATTTTAGTGTCAACAATCATTATTTAAAAAAGTTCCACCTTTTTGAAAATATTATTTTTGTATAATTTGATGTCATTTCTAAATACAATTACCTATTAAAAATAATATAATATATTATTTTCTATTTTTAATCGTCAACATTTTTTTAAGTTTTCCCTTTTTGAATGATACCATTTATTACTAATTACATATTCCTAAGCAAAATATTATTCGGAGTACCTATTCCAATCTATAAAAATCAAATTTTGGACAAGTAGTTTATTAGTAATAACTAATAATTTTATAAGTGCTTAAAGCTTAGATAAGCGGAGTAGTGGACAGCATTTTTTGAGGTACCTACCTATCATATTGTACCACTTTAATCAGTTCATCTAAAAAATAAATTCTTATAAGTAATAAACTATAATTGTCCGAAATTTGACCTTAATAAATTGAAATACTTTGAATAATATTCTGTTTCTAAATATGAAATCAAAAATCCTTCAAAAAAGTAAAAATTTATTAAAATGATAATAAATAGTAAAACTACAGTATTTTTTCAGAATATTTGTTTTAAAACTACATCAATAATTATGTTAAAAAATATTATTTTCAAAAAAGGTAAAACTTCAAAATAATGAGTGTATACTTAAATGGATCACCCTGTGTGTGTATATATATATATATATATATTATATACATGTGTGTGTATATATATTATAATATATACGTCCCGGTCTTCCGGTAGACTGTGACTTATTAAACAACTTCCTAAACTAATCATTAGTTAGTTCAAATATAAATTAAAGGGCATACATTAATTGTGCCGAAATGACCTTTTTAGCTGTAAGAAATATCTATTGATTTCACCGAGTATCAACTACACCCAAATTTTTAATATGTTAATTCCGCCTACAGTCAACTTTTGACAATTGTTCAAAATAAAAAATTCGATAGATTCACTCATATATTAAACCATTTTTTAAAAAAATTGTCAAATGAATTAAATTTTGAAACAAATTTTACATTGTATACTTTATTGTTTTAAATATATCGTAGGTATAAATTTGGCATCAATACGTTATATAAGTCATCAAACTATAAATATTTAAAAAAATTATTTAAATTTTGCAAAAATAACAAACCCTTGGTATTTGAGTTATATTGTTTTATTATTTAAACGCATTTTACATTGTATTTTATTGTTTTTTTACCGCTACAATATGCATAGGTAATTGGGTAGTATAATAGATACTACCAATAATACAGACATATACAATATATATTTTTTTTTTAAATTAGGAACAAACAAATAATGTTTGACGATTATTTGAATAAAAAAGATACATATTTTACTATTATGAGCATTATATGGTAAGCTGCATGTGTTTATACTGTTGATTAAAAAAAAAATAAACACACCAATATAAATTAATTATGATGATACTACATGAACATAATATGTGTATCATAGCTTTAAAATTTAAATAATTTATTCGTAATTAATTTTTATAATTTATATTATAGATGGGACCAGAAAAAAAGATACCTACTTTGTATATTGTATACGAAAAGACCAAACGAAAAATAATTAGTAATTACGTATTTTATTAGTTGACACAAATGAAATAAGTTAAAATAGGTATACTGAGGTTTAATCTAGTCAAGTTTATTATTTTTAATAAAATTTGTTTGTTGGCAGTAAAATAAATTCCCATCGTAAAGTTTTTGTCATGTGGTACGAGTTGAGTCACTAGTGTGATGAGTTTATAATTTTTTTAACATCATAAATCCAATTAACTAAATTCTTTCAACCCATAGTACTTGTATTTCAAAACATTTGTTGTTTCATTCTCATTAATACAAATTTTAAATTATTACTGAAAATAACTGTCAGAAATATATACTATAATAGAAAAACGTATAAGGTTTATCAATAGAACATTATGGGCCATGGTCATGAAAGGAAATATTTTCATCGCAGAAAAATAATAATAAAAACAGATAAGTACCTACCTACTTCAGTCATATTTTTGAATTTCTGCAGAATGTTATTTGTTCAACAGTTATAATATTATTATCTCCAATAAATAATAATCTTCTCTTAGATAACTGCAGTAATGCTTATAAATAGCTGCTACTAGGCAATCGTTATTTGTAGTAAGAAGTAATTAGGTAGTTAAAGAATAAAAATTATAATCATTTAAATTTTAAGCTTGTTATAATCCTATCATTGAATTACAATTACTAATTCATTAGTTAATAATTAATGTCCCTATATATAAGTAGGTAGAATATAGGTACCTACCTATGTATATTAATATTATGGCTTATATAGTATAGATATGTATAAGTGTTGAGTATAATGGACGCGTTAGTTGTTGTTAAATTGTATGATGTATTATTTCGAATGGTTTCATGATGGAAAACAAAAAAGCACACCCAAAACTTTCATCGTGAGCGGAAATCAGATACTTATATTGGTTGATGGACCGGATGGAGGGGTTTTAACAGCTTAACATGCTTAAATAAGTAAGTAATTTAATAGTGCACCAAAATACCCAAATTTTCTAGCTTCAAGGTTTTTTTAATAGGTACCTATACCCAATACGGCAATACCTATCCATAAATTAAACAATTAAAAAAATTACAGTAGTCACTGTCGCTGCTTATTGGATTCATTGCGGTTAATGGACTCATTCGCCTATTGGAAACAAACAAACTAATCCCGGTTTGCTTGTATACTTATACACAAAAGAAAAATTCTTCTATTGAACTCACACACTGGTTATA